TTGATCCATGGCATATTGGCTGGCACATGGCAGGTATGCAGGAAACAGGTCAAAGCAGTGACAGTGGAGACCCTTTCGCATGGGAGCCTCAGTGACTCCATCTGTAAAGTGGGAGTGACACCTGCTCTGTGGTGTCTAGGTAGCTGGGATGAGAAATGGCCACAAGTATGTACGTGTCCGTGAGTACACACACAGTGCTTACCTTCCAGAAGACAGAACACTGAGACCTACTGAGCACTTGCCATGTGCAACCCCTGCTCAGCCCTTTGCTTTCCTTAATCTGAATTCTGACAAGAGGTACAGAGAGGTCCAGTTCCTTGCCCAGAGCCACACAGCAACGTACGACCCATGAGACATCACCAGTTTTCTTAAACACCGGGAGGCAGGCAGGCAAGGGTAGGAAACTGGGAGAACCTATTCTAGCTCCCCGGAATGGGAGACAAGATCTCCTGGGGAAGATGGGGCATGGGGGTGAAGGGCAGCAGCAGCAATGAGTGGGGGAGCACTGCGGTGGGAGTGTCCGAGGGGCAGAAGTGGTGACTGGGAACAGAGAGCAGGTAAGGGACGCAGGCTGGGGGACAGACGGAGCCAGGAGGAATGGGGCACTCACAGTCCAGCAGGGGCAAACAGCTGGCCGTCCAGGTTCCTAGCCAGGAACAGGCTGTTTAAAAGTCTGGACCCGGACCCGTGAGGACTCCGGAGCTGCGTCCATGCCCAAGACAGCAGCTCCTGCTTCACGGTGGGTACATTCCTGCCCCACAGCTCTGTCCACTTCACTCCTGGAGGGCCTAGTCCTTAATCCCTGGGGGAAGCGGGCCCAACCTGCTTCCCACTTCTGTCAGTCTTCAGCCCCGCCCCCCCCTTCGCGGGGTCCAGAGCCCAGTCCCAGGCAATGAAGCCCCACACAGCACACCCTTTCACGTGCACAGGCCACAGGTGCCGCAGGAGGCAGACCCTTGGCCTGGATCCCCAGCCCTTAGATTTGGACTCCAAATGGTCTTTCTTGAAACAGTCATGTATCCACAAAGAGACTGGGATTGTGAGGACCATAGTGGAGGTTCCCTGTTGAACACAGACTCATCTGCTGCATGGTCACACCTCTGATGTGTTCAACTCAAGAACCTGGACCGAGCCCCATCCCTGAGAGGCAGGAATGCTGGGACAGAGCTCCCCTGACCCAGACCTGCTTCCTCCAGTCCCAAGACACTATGACCCGTATGGTAACAGCGGGGGGGGGGGCGTGCTGGGACACGCAGGCGCACACACACGGGGCAGAGCCCCAGGATGGCACAGGAGGGAGGCCCAGATGAGGAGGCTGACATCTTTATTGCTTTAGAGGCAGGGGCAGGTGCTCAGGAGCTCTTGGTGGGGCGGGCCCGCTTCCTCTTCACCATCACAGGCTTCTGGCTGCGCAGGATGGCGCTGGCTCTGCGAATGGCAGCCTGGACAGACAGGTAGAAGGCTCAGCACACCCGCCCACACCCGAGTGTGGGTCCAGCCATCAGCAGAGACCCTCCTCATAGGACGGGCCAGGCTCCCCCAACCACTGCTGGTCCCCACTCACCATGCGCAGATCTGGGCGGTACTTGTTCTTGCGGATCATGTGCCGGATGCTGCTGAGGGTGGCCCGGGCATTCTTGTTAATGGTGGTTCGAACGTAGGAGGTGGCGGGTTTCCGCTGGCCTGGGGGTGGTGGTGGGGGTGGTGGCAGGGGTGAGTCTGATGGTGCACTCTCACCCTGGGAACCTGAGCCCCTAGGCTGTGAGCCTGGGCAGGCCACTCCCTGCAGTCGGCCCCATCCACCCATTTAATGCCCCAGGCCAGGCCCGGCCCGGCCCAGCCCAGCCTTGAAGCCTGCAGTGGATCTTCTTCTATGTCCCTGACAGAAGGTTCATCAAGTCATTTCTCAGAGAGCAAAACAGAAGCAACAGAATGAGGACTCCTCATCCTGTCCAAAGCCACAGGCACAAAGCGGTGATCTGACCACAGCCTGCCTGCCTGACTCCAGGGCAGGACACTGGCCAGGCAGCAAGTGCCCATGAGACTGTAGCTCTGGTCTCTTCCTGCCTGCCCTCCAGGGCCCAAGCTACCCTGTGTGGAACAAGGGTCTGAAACAAGCTTTGAGGCTTGGGCCTGGATGCTGGAGAGCCAGGAAGGCATCAGGGAAGGCCAGGGTGAGGAAGAGCCCTGCAGCAAGCACCTGCCTCCCCCCCATCCGTGCACAGGTGGGGCCTGGACCCCACTGCCCCTGGATTAGGAGGAAAGCACCCCTTCCTTGTGAGCAAAGCTGCGGGCCTCACTCAGGATGTGAAGTAAGACGGAGTCTATGGGGTCTTGGCGAGACTCCTGTGCCCCAAATAACAGGCGGGGAAGGTTTCACCCAAAAACCAAGGACCCTTCACCATACCAGTGACTTTCAACGTCGGTCTGGACCGGTCCCTGAGCCCAGACCAGGAACACGGTCAGTCCAGTTCCTGACAGCCCAGGAGAGGCCACCCCACAACCCAAGATGGGCAAGTGAGGTTTTCAGGGTCCAGAGCACCAGAACGGTGTTCTCAGAAGCGTGAGAACCCTAGGAACTCACTGGTGAGCTGACAAGGGAAGATAACCCCCCTCCAGGGTGGACAGGGGTCTGATCAAGAGCCAGGTCATGGACACTGCTGTCCCTGCACGGGTGCTGGGCTCCAAACCCAAACAGAAAGCAGCCCTAGGGCGCCTGGGTGGCTCAGTCGGTTAGGCGGCTGCCTTCGGCTCAGGTCATGATCCTGGAGTCCCGGGATCGAGTCCCATGTCGGGCTCCTTGCTCAGCGGGGAGTCTGCTTCTCCCTCTGACCCTCCCCCCTCACGTGCTGTCTCTCTCTCTCAAATACATAAAAAACTAAAAAAAAAAAAAAAGAAAGAAAGAAAGCAAGCAAGCAAGCAAGCAAGCAGCCCTGATGAGAGAGCAGGAAAAACCCCAGGGAAAAACAAGGCTGGTGGGGCCACGATAACTCAGAACTCAAGCCTACCTGCCTCCAAGCTCCTGGGTCCCCACGACCCTTTAAGACACTAAAGGCCCGTCCAGGGGGGGCGGGACTCGCGGGAGCTCTCCTGAACGCACACAGCAGGCCAGGGGTCCAACTACGGCTGCTTCAAACGGACGAGCCTGTCCGTCCTCACCAGTGGGAGCCAGGGGGAAGGCCCCCCCCCCCCCCGTGGGCCCCGGGAACAGCTCCTGCGCCTGCCGCGCTTCACGGATTTCACCGGGCCAAGCGCCCTACTGGAGCCCCTCCGGCCGGCCGGTGCAGACCGGTAGGTGCTCACCGGATCGCCGCTTCATGACCACCACCACGCCTTTCCCGTCGGCCGCCGGCTCCACGCCCACGGTCTTGCGGTGAATCAGCCCGTTGTAGCGGAACGAGTTGCGAGCCTTCAGGTTGTTGGGCTCCTGGGAAGGAGGGCGCACCGGGGCCGTGAGGCGGGGGCGGGGGGGGGCATCCGCCCCAGGCCCGGGGCCCGAGCCCCACTTACAGTGCTGTAGGTCTGCTTGTTCCTCTTGATCAGGAAGCTGGAGCAGTTCCGCACGACCATCCACTGCAGGTGGGCGGACATGGCTGCGGCTGCGGGAAGAGCGGCAGGGGAGGTTGTCAGAGCGCGCAGCGGGCCGCCGCGGAACCACGCGGCCCCCCCCCCGCGCAGCAGGGGCAGGGGCGTGACCGGTCACCGGGCCAGCAGGGGTGCCCGCAGGGCGCACGGCGACCCCAGGCGGCGGGCTGAACTCAGACGGGGGATGCAGGGGGAGAGAACGTGAGAAGCCGCAGCGACCTCCGGCGGCGGGCTCGGGGGGCGGCCACAGAGGCCAGGCAAGGGCCAGGGCCAGGCAAGGGCAGAGGCGCCGGGCCTCGGGAAGATGAGGCAACCACGCGGGCGACGGAGAACCGCGCGCTCACCTCCTCTCACTACGGCAGCCGGAGACGGAAAGAGACAAGCAGGGGGCGGGACGACGGCTTTAATACCCACACGCATTTCCGCTTCCTCTGTGGGCATGCGCACGCCCTCGCCTGTCCCCGCCTCTTCCCGTCCGCCTCCGAGGCGGCTCGGTAACGTTCGGCTATTCCGCCAGCCTGTCGCCTATCGCTCGGAGACCTTCGGAACTCTTCGGCTAGAAACCCGAGGGTGTGTTCTCGGAGGCGGAGCGCCACCCTCCCGAGGGACCTTCGTGTGTTTTCGGAACTGCGGCGCTGGATTTCCGAGTGCGTCCGGTTCGAGAGGCCCCAAGTCCCCTTCCCCAGGGGCTTCTCTCCAGCGCTTTACACAGTATAGGCGCTCAATAAATATTTGTTTTACAAATGAACGTACGGATGCCTGAATTACTTAGGACTAGCTCCAGGGTCTTCGGGTGCTTCCGGTCTTCTTCGCAAGCTCTCGGCTGTTCCCGACGAAGGCACGGAGGCCCTCTCGGGCGTCTTCGGAACCCCTCGGAGACGCCCTCCCGCTGGGTGGCCGCCCTCTTTACTTGGCTCAAGCCCTTTCGGGTCTGTTCGGAAACACTCGTTTTCCATCCGGCCACGTTCGGAATTCTGTGGCTGATCCCGCAGGCGTCTCGGGTCGCCCTGCCCACGGTGATCTCAAACGGCTTAGAGTCTGGAGAGGAGCTAGGCGGCATCTCCTCGCAGACTTCCACCCCAGGAGGGGGCGTAGAACCCCTCCAGGAGCGAGTCGTTTGGAGGGGAAGAGATTTGCATGGGAAAGGTCTTGGCTCCTTCCGGGGGCCGTGGCTGCTGGCCTTTCCCCCGTCCCCCCCGCTCCGGTCTGCCCGCTGCGGCACCCCATAAACTGCCCGGAAGGTTACTTTCTGTTGTCGCGGTCCTCTTAAGGGGCGGGAGCCCCGCCTGATATATCCGCGGGTCTTCAGCCCCCGGCAGCACGGGGCTGGGCGCTTGGGGGGCCTCCGGAGGCCCCAGCTCAGCAAAAGGAACGGCATGGCCGCTGTGGCCCCCACGAGCGCACCTGATCTGTGGCTGTGTCCGGGAGCTCCGTGAGGGCGGGGGCCTCGTCTGCTCCCTCCCTGCTCGTGGGCTTCGCCCCTAGTGAGTCCCGGCCGTCCAGACGCACTAGGAGAAGCCTGGGGGACCGCCCTGCCGCCCCCAGCACGGCACCCAAATCTGGCGGTGGCGCGCAGAGTGCTGGGAGAGCCACCACTTAACCAGGGGCGTACGGGCGGCCCCAGGGGGCAGGCAATGAGTGAGAGAAATCTCAGCTCCCCAGAGCCCCGTGTTTCCTCCACTAGAGCGCCCTGCCTGCTGACTCTGCGTCCCGGGGCTCTGGGTCCAGGAGCCTTGTCTGATCCTTGTTTTTTGACACCCCCCCCCGTCCCCACCGCGGGGCTTGGGGCGCGGGGGGCCCCTGGAGGCAGGCCCTGAACAGAAACAACGTCCGGGCTCCCGCAGCACCCCACGCTGCCTCCATTAAGGCACCCTGAATTTTTAAAGGTATTCCGTCTTGCTCCTTGGTGTACGTAAGGCCCCTCCCACCCTTATCCGGGAGCCGGGCTGCCCCTAGCATAGGCCTCGGAGGGCCAGGACCTGCCCAGAAACCAAGGCCAGGGCACCCCCCAAGTCGGGCCCGTGTGCACCCCAGCCAGCTCAGGTGACCAGGCCGGCGCCGGGCACACCTGGCGCCGTCCCCTGACCCCGCCCCGGGCCGGGCCGCACCCCGGAACGTTCTCTGGGGGAGCCAGCGCGGCAGAGCAGGGCCATGGCAGCGGCGCCTGCGGTGGGCGCCCCGCAGGGGCCCCCGCCGGGTGCACCGTCCCCACCGGCCGGCGCGCGAGGGCCGGCGTCCGGCCTGGGCCGCTGCCGGATGGCGCTACTGCTGGCCGTGGCGCTGGACGTGGCGGGCATGGCGGCGCTGCTGACCGGCGTGTTCGCGCAGCTGCAGGTGCGCGGCCGCGACTTCGGCGACCTGCTCATCTACTCGGGCGCGCTGCTTGTCTTCCTGAGCCTGCTCGGCTGGATCCTCTGGTACACCGGCAACATCGAGATCTCGCGCCAGGAGCTCGAGCGCGACTACGGCCTGCGGCCCTCGACTCTGGCCCGCCTGGCGCGCAAGCTCTCCCGCCGCTGGTCCGCGCCGGCCTCCTCCTCCTGCCCGCGCGCCGCGCCCGGCTCTCTAGGAACGCGCCGTGCCGCCCGCGCGCCCCCGCCGCCCGCTGCCGGCTCCCGCCGCGTGCGCCTGCAGCTCGCTACGCTCGAGGCCGGGCCCGGGGCGGCGGGCGCGGGCACCGAGTGAGCCCGAGGTGAGGGGTGGGGCAGCGAGTGAGGCGGCAGGGAGAGTTGGAGAGAGTTGGAGAGGCAGGGGGAGAGCTGGACAGACGGGGGGAGAGATGGAGAGACGGGGGAGAGATGGAAAGAGATGTGGGAGTGGAAATAGAGAGAGGAGAGATGGAGAGATGGGGAGGGAGAGGGACAATGGGGACAGAAAGACAAAGGACTAGATCAAGATGAGGGAGGAGAGCAGCAGGGCCCAGAGGATGGCGCCTTGGACAGCAGGCATGAGCACAGACATGGAAGAGACCGAGCCCTTGCCCCCCAGATGAGGCCTAGAGAGCCACTACCTGCTCGCCCCCACACTTGGAGACCCCGCTCTGCACCCCAGCCCCCAGGAGCACCAGGTCCCACTTAATCCTCCCCCTGTAGCTGCGTCTCGGGGGTCACTGCTAGTACCATCCCCATCCCAGCAGAGGACATCGAGGCCCAGAAAGGTGCCACCTTTTGGCCAAGGGCACACAGCTAGGATTCTTCTAAGAGAGAGGGAAAGAGCGAGAATATACCAGGAGTGTGAGACGCAGGGAAAGCTTTGCTGCTCATTCCTTCCCTTTTCTCTCTCCTCTCTGTCTTCTATCCCATTTCCTAAACACACACTCTCCAGCTTGCACTCCTTTGCTCAAACACCTGCTGTGGCTCCCTATTGCCCTCTGATTAAATCCCTGCCACTCACTGTGGGCCCCACATGTTTCAGCCCCACATCTCCTGCCTTCTTTGCAGTTATGATGGCATCCCTCAGTCCATGGACGGCCAGGCTGTCCCACCTCAGTTGGCCTCTGTTCATGCTCTCCCCTACGGCAGGAGTGCCCTTGCTGTCCGTTACTCCACATGGAAAGCGTCCCTTGTGTCCATTAAGATCCCACGCCACTTTGCAGCCTTTCTCTGGGTCTCCATATTATCTGAGTTACCCCCGTTATTGCTTGTTATCTGTCTTGTGTCTCTGCTGGTACTGCCTCTCCTGCTGGACAGAGAGCACCCTGATGGTAATGCCTGAGTCTCTGGTGTCTTCATTCTTAGCATTGCTCTGCAACAAGTAAGCTCAGGAAGTCAGAGAAGCGTGACTGGGTCGGTGGGTGGATGCGTGGATGGACGGATGGGTTGTTTGACGGGTGGATGGACTGGCTGATGGATGAGTGGACAGACTGGTGAATGGGTGGGCAGATAGAGGGATGAATGTTCAATTGGTGGATGGATGAACTGGTGGATGGATGGATATGGTAGACTGATGAATTGGTAAGATTCATCAGAATTGGGGAACGGGTGGTTTGGACAGATAGGAGGATGGTAGCTGAGAGAATGGATGGGTTAGCCAATGGGTAGATGGAGAGGAGGAGCAATGTCAACAATGGGTGAGTGACTGACTCAGTTTCTTGAATGCAAGTTCCGTAAAGGAATGAAATCCTGACATGCTAAGACCTTCTCTGTATGTGATGAATTTAACTTTTCTCCTGTGCATCCAGAATGGGACTAGTTATACACCCTTCTTCATGAGAACTGAGAAAATAGTAACTCCAATTATCAGCTGCATTCTGTAGCTCAGAGGAGGAGACGGGTTTAAGACAAGATGTATGTGTAGATGAGGAGGCATCAGCTCACACAAAATTTGGCACAGAAATTAGAACCACCCACCAGCAGTGAAAATCCTTTACCTTGCCCAAAAGTCTAACACAACTGGGCGGATCTCCTGCTGGAACCACCTGCGAGAAACGTGGGCCAAGCTGGCTGGAGTGTAGGCCCCTCTTCGAATGAAGATAGGCCTGTTCAAACCCAGGACTCCTTAGTGGGCGGGGTGAAGTGCTTCCAGCCCATGAAGGACGGAGAACTTGAATTTTAACAGAGGGACCTGAAGATTCTGGCTCGGGTCGCTCCCTTCCCCCTTCTGGGACCAAAATGAGTGGAGTAGACAGACAGAGCCACCCAGCAGAAGCCATTATGTTTTGTTTTCTTTCGCTGTGTCTGTCTGTCTCCTGTGTCTCTTTGTTTCTGTACCCGTCATTCCCTCTACATATCTTCTTCTGTCCTGACTTCCTGTCTCTCCTTCTCCAGCTTGTACCTCTGGACCCCAGTGAGGCAAATACGCTGCAGCAGATGGGGGCGTGGAGGGGTGGAGGAGCAGTTGAGCAGGTGTGTAAGTCAATGTATGAGGGACTAAAGCAGGAAGAAAGGGCTCCCTTCCCCTGCCCCTCAGGCCGCTGGGCCGGGGGCCCTGGGAATGCATGGGTCTTGGGAGGGGTCCTGCACAACCACTAACCCCACCCTTCTTCTTGCAGACGGACCCACGGACCCACCTGTCAGGACTGGACTGCGGTGTACAGTTGTGCCCACCATCATCTGGGCCACCAAGATGTCTACCTGTCCACCCCATCCTCCCCTGGATAAATGGCTCTGCCTCATAGCACTGTGTGTCTGTCTGGGAGAGGGACAATACTGGGGCCAGGCCACACCTGCAGAGGGGCCACCCATGCCCTTGGGGACCTTGAAGCCCAGCTTCACACTGGCCCTCATGGAGGGGCATGGGAGAGTGGTGCCAGGATCTTGAGTCCAGACCCAACCCTTCAGTCCAGATGCCCCTCAGCCTATGCCCCTCGGCTGGTATTGGGATCCTCCAAGAAGCAGACAGAGGGACAAATTAGACTCACAAGGTATTTATTGGGAGGAAGTACCTTTAAAAAAAAAGATTTATTTATTTATTTTAGAGGGGGAGGGGCCGAGGGAGAGGGAGAGCGAGAGACTCTCAAGCCAACTCCTGCCAAGCAAGGAGCCTGGCAGGGGGCTTGATCTCATGACCCTGAGATCATGACATGAGCCAAAATCAAGAGTCCGCCCCCGCTGAGCCACCCAGGCACCCAGGAAGGAAGTATTTATGGAGGGTACTTGGTGTGGGTGTGGCACCTGAGGAAGACAGGAGGGTTGGGCAGCACACGTCTTGTACTGCACACAAGTCCAGGAGAATTTCCACCCAGGCACTGGAGAGTATGAGAGTAATGTCGTCCACCGGAGGTGGCCCACGTCCCGCAGGGAGCCCTGCCAGGCTCAGGCATCGGTGGGAGGCATGGCACCGTGCTGGCAGAGGGGGCAGGATCCCAAGGGTCCACGGCGGAGGCTGTCCATCAGTGGTGCTCCCGCAGGAGAGCTGCAGGCCACCCCCCACTGACCCACCCCTCCCTGGTTCCAGACCCCACTCAGCCCAGAACCCCCATGATCACAGCCCAGTTCCCGGCCCCCTCGTGCGCGCACACACACACGCGAACACACACGTCCCTGCCCCGGAGCTCATGAGCCCTCTGCCCCCATGGTTCTTAGAAAAGAGACCACGCGTCTATATGCTATGTCTGTATTGAGGGGCCCCCCCCAGGGGTGCCCCTAATCTTCGTCCTCTCCCGCTTCTGTTTCATCACCCCCTTCTGTCGTCCCTTCCCCTTCAGTGGCCCCTGACACATCCGTGGCTCCCTCCAGAGGAGGGGAGTTTGGCATGCTGCCAGCCGATGACTTTTTTTTGCTCGAAGTCCCCCGGTCCTTGGATAACAGAGAGACGGTCCTTGACAGGTCACATTTGCCCTTTAAGAACACTGGAAGGTGCAGCATATCACGGCGCTTGGCCCACCTGACCGGGAGGACATACACTCAGCCTTGACCGTCTGCCTGCTCCTCTGGGGGTGCGGGAGCCCACCCTCAGCCCCAACCCCACTTGCCAGAACAAGCAGATGCTGGAGATCAGGAATAGGAGGCCTCCACACGTCCAGCCCAGCGCCCACATGTGCTTTCTCCGCATAGTTTCTGGGCAAAGGAGGCAGGTTTGAGACCCAGGAGACTCAGCTGCCCCAGGGGCCCAACTTCCAGGCACTCACCATCTGGCCGCTGGTGGTAGCAGACCCCGTCACGGTAGCAGCATCGAAGACGCAGACAGAGATTGGGGTTCTCGATTGCTGCCTGGCCCCCACAGCTCTCCCGGTCCCACACATCTCCCTCACAGCCTTGGGACCAACCACAGTGGCAGCTGTGTCACAGAGTCTGACCCGAGAGCCTCAGAACCCCAGGGTCCCAAAGTCAGGCTCCGGAATTGCCTACCTAGTGCTTACTCTGTGCAGGAACCAGGAGTTCAGGCCCCCAGCCCCTCCTCCCTCAGACCCAGGAGTCCAGGCATCCAGCCCCCTCCTCCCTCAGACCCAGGGGTCCAGACCCCAGCACCCTCCTCCCTCAGACCCAGGAGTCCAGGCATCCAGCCCCCTCCTCCCTCAGACCCAGGGGTCCAGACCCCAGCCCCCTCCTCCCTCAGATCCAGGGGTCCAGACCCCAGCCCCTCCTCCCTCAGACCCAGGGGTCCAGGCCCCCAGCCCCTCCTCCCTCAGACCCAGGATCAGGCTCCCAGCCCATTCTCCCTTTGGACTCAAGAGTCTAGTCTGGGCTCCTTGTCCTTGAGGGACCCGGGTTTCATCCACTGCTCACTCCATGGATAGAAGAATCCCTGGATTCCATTCCCATCTGTGGAGAAAGAGGATTGGTGTTGAAGGGGGCAGTTATGGAGGCTGAAGAGGCTCCCTGTTCAGCTCTCTGACCCTCTCTTCAGCCCCCTCACCTACTGAGCCCTGCATCAGCAGGAAGAGGCTCAAAGCTGGGATCCCAGAGCCCACCATGTTGCCTCCCCAGACCCTTGGGGCCTCTGTGGGGACAGACCTTGAAGGCCATCACCCCAGCAACCAGCTGGGCCCCACCCACCTGCCCACCCAGCTTTCAAGGTTCTAAGTTCTGTTGCTAGGGAGCCCCCTTAGCAGTGGAGAAGGAGGATGGGGGGGGTCACACTGGCCTGGTCATGCCTGGTTGTGAAGAAGTTGCTTCCTGGGCGCCTGGGTGGCTCGGCTGGTTAAGCGGCTGCCTTCGGCTCAGGTCATGATCCTGGCGTCCCGGGATCGAGTCCCGTATCGGGCTCCCTGCTCAGCGGGGGTCTGCTTCTCCCTCTGACCCTCCCCCCTCTCATGCTCTCTCTCTCTCATTTTCTCTCTCTCAAATAAATAAATAAAATCTTTAAAAAAAAAAAAAAAGAAGTTGCTTCCTCAGCAACCAGACAGAAGGGTCCATGGGGGTGGGGGTGGGGGCCTGGGCATAAAAAGAGCCTCCTTAGCAACTTGGGCAGAAAGTGGGTGGTGGTCTAAGGCACCTTGTTCTTGCCAACCAGAGGACCCCAAGAGGTGGGGCCTGGGAGACCTTCCTGCCAAGGAATCCCTCTGCTTAGTAACCTGAAGCCTGCAGGGCAGCTCCAGGTGGCCCAGAGTCTCCTGAGACTTCGTTGCCAGGGGTCTCCCCCCTAGCAGCCAGGGGCAGGGGGGCGCTGAGGCTCACTGAGCCCCATTGTTAGGGAGGCCTCCTTAACAACCAGGTGGCCTAGGAGGACAAGGGGAAAATGGGGGGGGGGCCAGAGGCCAGAGCCTTTGCTCAGGAGTACTCCTGTCCCAAAGGCTCTCTAGGTCTCCCAGTGGAGAACGGGTCGGGAGTGTGCAAGGGGCCACGAAGATGTGAGGGCTGTGAGTGTGGCCGTGGGCAGGAAGACCTTTCTCCCTAGGCCTCGGTCTCTCCACCCACAAATGGGGAAAGGGGTCCACATGGAGGTCCTCAAGCTTCCCATTTGGTTCCCCTTAGTGGTGGAGGAGGACAGCTGGGGGGCGGGGTTGGGACCAGGATCCCTAGTTCTCTCAGGTGAACCTCTACTCAGCTTTGCAGTACAGTGAGGAGGGGGCTTTCTGGGGCAGTGTGGCTTTGGGGTCCGGACTCCTGGGTCTGAGGGAGGAGGGGCTGGGGTTTTGGACTCCTGGGTCTGAGGGAGGAGGGTCTGGGGGTCTGGACTCCTGGGC